AGCCGTGGTACCAGTGTGGTGAGTACTCTATGATGTACTGCCCAAGTCTCGACTGCTAATTTCATGTAGGTCCTCCTATTGGTGTACATCTTGTACCTCCTGTTCCAGTTGAAGTCTCATGCCTACATGTATGAGTCTACACCGCAACACATTGTGGACGCTGAGTCCGCTCCTGGCCCTGCCATTGGTTTCTTCGACTCTTCCAGTTCTGAAGATAGCTCCGACTCCGACTCCGATTCAGATGCTTCTGACAGCTCTGGAGGCACTGTACGCAAGACAATGAGAAAGGTCATGCGCGCCGGTAGAAGGCGCAAGTCTAGTGTGGTTTCTGTCAATACCGACGGTCTCCCCCGTACCCGTAACTCCTCTGTCGGTACAACTCACGGCTCTGAAGGATCCGCCAGTCGTCCAGCCATTCCTCGCTTCAACTCTGTCGGTAGCGATGAGGCCGTTGAGGAAGACAGGTCTCGTAAGCACAGAAAGCATCGCAGGCGTCATCACAAGCATCAGAAGAAGTCCAAGAAGGCCTCCCGGAACAACCTTGTCGATGTTGAAGGCCATGAGCCTTTGACCAGCAGCGCTCAAGCGGGTGAACCCCGCCGCCTGGACTTTGCCGATCAACCTGCTGGACCCTCGGAGCCGACCGATACCACTCAAGCCGCCAAGAGTCGCCCAGTGTCTGGCCTTCGCGGGCTGTCGATTAAGAACTTCGCCCCCGCTGTCTTCACCACACCCGACGAGACCCCATCCGCCGGCCCCGCTGCCCCGGCCGGCCCAGTCCCCCGAGTCCGTTTCGGTATCCGCCGGACCAACTCCTTGCCCGACCGTCTGAACCAGCATGGGAACGTTCGCCCCCCCGGAGGAGTGTTCCCCGCCCAGATTCCTGGTGTCGCGACTGTCAATAGTGGTCTGAGTGCCAAGGACGAGACTGCCGACAACGATCACCTATCCCGCACTGCTGCCGTCCTTCTTCTGCTCTTCTCCACCGCCCTTGTCGCCGTCTGCGCCGAGTTCCTTGTCGACTCCATTAACGAGGTTGTCAAGACCAGTCCTCTTGGCGAGATCTTCATCGGTCTCATTATCCTCCCCATTGTTGGCAACGCAGCAGAGCACGTCACGGCCGTCACTGTCGCTATGAAGAATAAGATGGACCTGGCCATTGGTGTTGCCGTTGGTAGCTCCATCCAGATCGCTCTCTTCATCACGCCCATTGTCGTCATCATCGGTTGGGCTATGGACCGCGATATGTCGCTGTACTTTACCTTGTTCGAGACAGTTTGCCTGTTCGTTTCAGCTTTCATTGTCAACTTCCTGGTACTCGACGGAAGGAGTAACTACCTTGAGGGCGCTTTGTTGTGTGCAACATACATCATTATTGCTGTGGTTGCTTTCTTCTACCCCAACTCGGACGAGGCGAGCTCTTTCGGCGCCTGAATTTGGGGGTATGAGGTCGCATAATAGGACATGATCCTTATGCTATGCGGTTGACCTGATGGGGAGGAGTGGTTGTTGGTGAAGAACAACTTACGACGCTTCATGAAGATTTCTTTCTATTCTGCTGCTATGGCATATTCCCTATGGCACGCGGCTTTTATTTACAAGGGGGTGACTTGGGATTGAGGTTATATCATTCTTGCACAAGTTTGTTGCGATTTCAAACTTTTGATCGATGGCGCACACAATTAGTAGCTTTGGTTCACCGTCTTCCACACGGGAACAGGCTCTTGGGCGTCGAATATACACGTATTTTTACACCATGAATCATGAGATATGCAATGCTTTTGATTGTGAATTTTGTTATTATTGAATACTTTCATTTTTTTCTCACAACACCGCATTGACTTCTCCTCCCTTGCCGCTGACATGAAGGATCAAGAAGGAGTTAACCAGCATTGCCTTGAAAGGCGAAGTTAGCGACAAACTAATGTGCCGCCCAGGATATTCCCTCTGTTTCGCCTACTCTGATTGTAGCCATTCATCTAAAGAAAATGAGTATATGGATGGTACTCGGTTTTCCAGAGATGGCGGGGCGAGGTAGCCTGTTTAAGCTCTGAGTCTGTGGCCGTCATCTCCTATCATTTCCGTGGGAAAGTATCTCGCATACGTACCGTGTGGGCGAGATGGTATGGCATAGTCGGGAGCTAGTGGATGGCTGGCTTTGTCTGTGTATCATGCTCGATGTAGGACGCGGTTGAAGAATATGGAGATAAGCCGGTGTTGATGTTTTGTATATCCAAGGTGAAAATTCCAAGTTGGCCGGCTACAAATTCCCTCCCAGAATCGAACATCTTAAACGGCTTTGACGACTCAGAGTAGTTTCTGGATACTGCATCCAGCCCTCCACAAGGTGACCGTAGCCTCCCATGTAACTTATCTTACGCAGGTAAGGGAGGTATAGTTAATTGACGACGACAGCAATGCATCTTAGCCTGGGGTCAACATCTTGTTTAGTCAGCAACGGAGTGATATCAGGTTGACAGGTAGGCATAGGATCGCATTTGATTTCCGCCGGTGTTCCAGAAACACGAGTGTTGTTTATGGAGAGAAACCAATGCAACCCCACGGAGGAAAACCGCAACGCCCATACATCAAGTTGGCCATTCATGGTGACATGGTTCGGTGACATTGAGGGGATGGAAGTTTCGGCCCACTGGGTAAGCTTAAAAAGCTAGCTGCGCCGATTGCCCCCACACCAGTTCCGCCCGATTGCGCCGGGCGATGATCAGGGTACGCCATCGAGCAGTTACCTAGGTAGGCGGCCTCCTTGATGCCACTGCCGTGGCTAGTGTTTACTTCTTTCGTCCAGTTAGGTATATGTTGGTCGAGGTAAAGAGGGTGAAAAGCCGTTGGTCGCACAAGAGACTTCTGTTTGGTGTCATTGTCGTTGTCTGCCCAGGGTGGTGCATTGGCGCATGTAGCTCTGTTCTAGCTAGGTATGTGGTAAAGTAAAGACAAAGTGCTTGCACCTTGAGGCGTCGAACAATCAGGTACCGTAGTGTACCTACGTCCCTACTATCTTAGGTAAACCAAGGCACAGAAACACTCCAAACGCAGGGAGCTCATTGGATTGTCGTTTATACCTGTTGCTGCGGGGGAATATGCAGCTCCAGCGTCCTGCAGCAGGTATCGCCAAAGAAAAATGGATCCCAGCTGCCTATTGCGGACAGCTCCCAAAGTTCCACCATCATGGTCCTCTCATCATCACTGGGGGAGCCAGTCAGCCTACCTTAGAATCCCGTCATCTGCTTCCGCCCAAAGAAAACACAGCCACCTTTGTTCTTCTTCATATCAACGCCTCACCCGCCCCCGTCGTGCATCATCGCTGCATTTCACCTACATCACCCGCGACGCTAGACAAGTTTTCCATACCTGCAACATCTTGCACATTTGCCAATTCCCACCCTCAATCGTCTGGGTCGCATTGTTTCAGATTTCCCACTGCTTTACCTACTCAAGCTCAAGCTCAATTCCGACGTCAAGGCGCCCACCCTCCCCGATCCGCCGCAACATCTATTACCCCTCCGGCTCACCACATTGTTCCGCAAACACAACGAACCACGAAAGATCAGACACCAGACGAACTGCATAAAAAGCCCCAAAACCTTCTTTCCCCCCCAATTCCTGAAGATGTGTTTCGGCAGCAAGGCCGACAAGGATGATAGTCCTGCCCCGCGTCCCGCGCAACGTCCTTCTTCACTACAGCAGCCAGACACCAAGATGACCAGCAGCAATCAGCAGCAGCCCCATTACGCGCCGCCGGCTGGTACGCCTCCCGGACAGAATTCGGCTCAGCAGCAGTATGCTCCTCCTCCCGGCCCGCCTCCGAGTCAGACGTACGCCGCTCCAAGTGGTCCGCCGCCAGGCCGGGCTGGTGAATTTGCGCCTCCCTCGGGTCCTCCTCCGTCCCATGGAGGATATGCGCCGCCATCGGGACCTCCTCCCTCACACCAGCAGAGTGAGTACGCGCCGCCTCCGGGACCTCCGCCATCCCACAATGACTACACGGCTCCTCCCTCGGGCCCCCCACCATCGGAATCGAAAAAACACGACTGGGAGACGGCGGTTCCCGATACCACCCTCTTCCCACCGCCCCCGGCCTTCTTCAGCGGGTTTGACCGTTCCCCTGCGAACAACTCTACGGAGCAAGAGTCTGAAGCTGGTGAGGCCTGGGTGGCCCAGTACCCTCTCGTCAAGCCTATCGATCTTGACGCTAGTGCTCTCGAGGCTTTGCGCACGCACAGGATATGGCTTCTCCAGCCTCAAGGATTCCGCGGCACAATGGCCCAACCCGTCTCGGGTAAGTGGGAGATCACGACGCAAAGGAATGCACCCGACAGCACCATCATCGGATACCCGCCTCTATACTCGGTGAAGCACAATTCGCCTCTCGCCACCGGCAAGCCCTTCAAGGTCTACTATGAAGTCAAGATTCGCGGATCGGCAAGTGAGGTAGATCTCGCCCTTGGCTTCACTGCGCTTCCGTACCCCAACTTTCGTCTTCCCGGATGGCACCGTGGCAGTCTCGGTGTTCACGGCGATGACGGACACAAGTACATCAACGACAGATGGGGCGGAAAGTCTTTCACAACACCCTTCCAACCCGGCGAGACGCTGGGTATCGGCATGTCCTTCACGGCTCAGGGCGGCAGAATGAGCGTTGAGATCTTCTTCACGCGAGACGGTAGACTGTCCGGGAGCTGGAACCTTCATGAGGAGGGTGACTCTGAGCAAGATTTGCCGGTCAACGGTCTGGAGGGATACCATGACCTGAGTTGTGCCATTGGCACATTCTCCAAGAACGAGTACGATATCATCTTTGACCCGGAGTTGTGGAAGTACAGGCCTTGAGAGCGGGTGGGCTTGGTTTATGATTGAATAGGGGGTTTCCATAAGGGTGGACTGGGTTAGCGGGCGGTTACATACTGCAATCAGGATCGTCCATACAGTACTTCTTCTCATGTCATGATCTCAATTTTACAAATGTAATTATACAGCGAATTTCAAATCTTTGCTTTGATATCAACCTCTTTCCACCACGGGTACGCCGTCGGCGCATCCTTCTCCATCGTCGCCTCGAACCGCGGCGCTCTCTTCTCCATGAAACTCTCCATCCCCTCTTTACTATCTTTCCCGCTAAACAGGTCGAAGAAGATCTTGCTCTCCAGCAGGTGCGCCTCCTCCGGACTCGCCGGCGACCTCAGAATCATATCCCGCATCACCCTCACGGCCACGGTACTCACATTCGCAGCGACATCCTCGGCGACCGCCAGCGCGCGCGGGAGAACCTCGTCCGGCGCGACGATCTCGCTGAATAAGTTGCGCAGTAGCGGGCTCGTGGCGGGGTATACCCCTCCCGTGGTACACAGATGCAGCGCCGGGCCGGCGCCGATGAGGCGCGGGAGGTAAAAGGACGAGCAGGCCTCCATGTTGAACCCGCGCCGCCCAAAGACGAAGCCGATTTTCGCGTCGCGGGAGACGATGCGGATGGAGGCGGGGAGGGCCATTGTGATGCCCACGCCGACGGCGGAGCCGTTTATTGCGGCGATGATGGGTTTCGAGCAGTTGTGCATTGCTAGGGCGACGAGGCCTCCCGTGTCGCGGTGGGCGTCGCGGTGGGAGGGGAGGCGGACGCGGTTGTGGAGGTCCATTCCTGCGCAGAAGGTCTTGTTGGAGGGGTCTGAGCCGGTGAGGACTATGGCTTTTACGCGGGGGTCGGTGGAGAGGAGGGTGTAGGCTTTTGCTAGGGAGGACGCCATTTCGTCTGTGAAGGCGTTGCGGGCGGAGGGGCGGTTGAGGGTGAGGAGTATCACTGGGGTTGGGGAGGGGGAGGAGGCGGGGTGGTGGGAGAGGGTTATTTGGGGGAGGGAGAGGGTGTTGTAGGATGTTGGGAGGGAGGACATTGTTGTTGATGGGTTCTTGGAGGTTTTGGAGGGTTGTGGTTGATGATGTATTGGATGTGGAGTTGAGGTCGTGGTGATGAGGTTGGTGGTGAGACTGTTTGTGATGGAACTTGTGGTTTTTGATGGAGGTTGAACTATTCAGATTGACAGGATTGTAGGGGATGGAGGTGGGGGATCATGTAGATGGAAGTGAACTTTTACGTGGATGTGCTTTGCCGCCGTCTTTGGGTTCGAGGTCAAAGGTTGGAGATGGAGGGGAAGAGCGCTTACAACCGGTACCGAGGTCCGGAATGGTAGAGTGATCAACGTCCATGCGGAGCGGCCCGGCGTGTATCAGGGACTGGCTTGGTTGTTAATTGCTGTCAGAAACCTGGAGATTCTGAAATTTTGGTTTGATCAAGCTACCTACTCATTATGAAGCCGATTAACGGGATCGATGACCAAATTCCCGAGAGATACAGCCATGACACTTAGTGGACGTACAGCTTCTCACCGAAGCTCACCGAGCATAAGGTAAGGTACTTCGGTAAAGACAATGATAAGAATGCGATAATAGTGAGATAAGATAATCGGACAGTCTTCGCTACCGTGCATCATGATCTTGGCACAGTACGGCTGACTCAACTAACCACTTGCGCATCGTCGACGCTCCCCCATTCAGCCAAAGACGCATTATTACAAGACACGACTTGTAAAGGAAATCTAGAGGCATGGTATATGATTGGGATGCCCACGAGAAGCTATGTTTTCAGCTCTACATCAACGAGAAGAGGTCCCTCGAGGACATCATGGTGTACCTAAAAATGCACCATGACTTTGCGCCCTGGTCAGTTTGAGTCTCTTTATCCACCTCTGCTCGCCTATGGTCTTCGTGGTTCCTCTCGCCGGCCGGACTGCCCGATCCACATCCGGCAAAGCTTACCCCCGTTCCACAACGGAACCGGGACTGGGGTCGGGGCCGGGGCCGAATCCGGGGTAAAGTAAAGGCTGTCGGACTACACATGTCGCTCGCTCACACACATGGTACAGCAAACGAGCCTTCCAGACCCAGTTCCGCAAGTGGGATTTCCCGTCCAAGCAGAACCCTGCGCACAAGAACGGCCGGCTGGTCGCGCGCGTCAAGGAGCTGTGGGAGCGGAACCTGACGCAGGGAGAGATGCTGGCCGTGCTGAGGGAGGATGGGTTCGACATCAAGAAGCGCGAGCTGATTCGCGTGAGGACGAAGAACCGGTGGCTTTTGAAGGCTGCGAATGGGGAGCGGTCTAGGGAGGGTAATGGGGATGAGGAGGAGGTGGTAGCGGGTTCTGGTCGGCGGGGAGCATCTGTGGTCACTGTCAACGACGGCTTTGGGAGCCGGGGTGGTGAGGGGGTTGTGACGCCTGGTACTCTTACGGATCGGGAGATGCTGGGGTCGTCGCTGCCAGGCGAGGGCGAGGGCGACGAAGACGACGACGCGGTGAGGGGCACGGAGAGCAACGGCAATAACAGCAGCAACAACAGGAGGAAGAGGCGGCGGCTGCGAGCCTGGGAGGCCGCGTCATCTCATGATTCACAACACTCCATCGCCCCGCGCTTCCCTTCAGAGACCACGCTCGACGACGCAAAAGCCATCCTCGGGTTGGAGACGGACGTATATCGTCAGGTGCGGGTCACGTTTGCGCAGCTCTGCGAGGAAGCCGGCATCGTCAAGAAGACGATCGCCGGGCCGGAGAGGTGGGAGGCCGTCAAAGCCCGGCTTGTGAGAGAGACGCCGCGGCTGAGAGCAGTGATGTGGGACGACGAGGAGTCTGGGGATGTGAACGGCAGCAGCAACAGCAACAGCAACAGCAGTAACAACCGCAGCAGTAACAACCACGAGTCCAAGAAATTGGCGCTCGACGTTATATGTACGGACATCACGAAGCGGGCGCGGACGCTGGAGAAGCGGCTCACGCTCGCCGAGGCGAAAAATATCCTGGGCGTCAACCCGGAGGAGGCGAGGGATCTCCGCGCGGCGTTTGAGAGGATATTGAAGCGGGAGGGGCTCGGTTGCAAGTCTGAGGCGGGGCCGGCGCAGTGGGCGGAGCTGAAGGCGGAGTGGGAAGCTGGATCGGAGCTGGTACGGCGGGTTCTCGCTGCGCCGGGGGACGAAGGAGACGGCGGTCCTCCTTCAGTGCATGCTCACGCTCACGCTGAAAAGGTGCGGGCTTTAGATGTTCTTGCGAAGGATGTGATGAAGAGGCTGAGGGATGATGCCTCGAGGCGGGAGCAGCCACAGAAACGAGGAGTCACGCAACTGACGCAACTAGTTCGCGACGACGCGAAACGGCAAGAGGATGTCCAGGCAATTCAGGTCCGGGCCCAGCCCGCACAGCCAGAAATGGCTGATGCTTTGGAAGACGAGGATGACTTGGGCGGCGGCCAGTACGTCGATGCCAGCCAGGTATCCGTACCGCCGTCTATGGGACTCGTGCCCGGCTCGGGGGCAAGCCAGCAGCCGCAGATGCTCATGCCCACCGTGTCGATGCAGGTCCAGGCCGCCGCGGCCGCCGACCCGATGAGCCACTCCGCGGCGAGGATCCTCTCATCGGCGCTCCTCGGGCAGCCGGACATGGGGCTGGAATCCCACCACATGGGCTCGTCTCTCCTACTAGCAGCCGACGCGCAGGCGGCGTTTGTAGACCAGCAATACGCGCAGCAATACGCCGTAGCTGCTGCCGCCGCAGCACAGCAGCAGCAGCAGCAACAACAACCCGTCTTCCATGCACCGTCGTCACCTCTACCACAGCACCAGCACCCGCAGCCGCAGCCTCCGTCTACCACGAGCATAGCCGTCTACCTACGCCTCCACCCTTCCTCCACCTTCATGGCCACTACGACCATCTGGATCGCGACGCTGAGCTCGCATTCCGTGCAGGAGCTGCGGCACGCGGCGGCGAGTAAGTTCCCGGGGGCGATTTGTCTACGGCTGGAGGGGGTGTTGAAGGATGGCAAGGGCGGGGAGATGCCGTTGGCGATCGAGCAGGACGGGGAGCTTGCTGCGTATTTGGCGCATTTGAGGGGGGCTGCTGGGGGGCTTGGGACGCCGACGTTTAATGTGCAGCTTATCCCTGGATGGAAGACTTAAGGTGCTTCGAGAGACTACCTTATTATAAGGTGAGATTAGATAATTTGGGGAGGCTTTCTACGGACAATGGGGCGCATGTTTGATATAACGAGGTGTATGGATCTATAGGATTGGATTCATGGAGTTCTATACTTTGAGAGATCTTCCATTCCTTACAGGCAGGCCGGTGACAGTCGTCGAAATGTGGAAATGATGACGAGGAAGTTAACGGCAATTGTATCGGGAGTCTCGGGGCTTATCCGTGCCGACTTAGTATGCTTTCCCAAGTTGGTATGTAATCAACACGGAATCCCAAGCCATAAACAGTCAGCCATGGCATGTTCACGCCTGCTGTGCACCCAACATAATGGACCATGGGTGTCTCCGACCTCGCTAGCACGCCATTCCATTAGCCAGAGTTATCCTCGGCCTTGGATAAGCGGACGGAAGGGGGGGCCAGACGGTGAAGAAGTGGAGTTCCACACCGGCGCGGGCATACCACGGTACTACGGCAGCCCCACCGCACAACCCTTCCCCGCTTCCGGGCCGGCCAATCCTTATCCCCGATAGGCTCGCAGGGTGCACTTTCTGCTCCAGTGCTGCTGAGGTGCCCCAGTTCCATTGCTGCAGGCGGCTTGCATGGATTCCATTTCGCCATCCGAGCTCCAGAAGTGCTAAGACGGATGCAGCTCCACCCAGCTACAAATAATCTTTACCTGCACTACTATTCGCAGTCGTTCGCCCGCGTACGCAGTACAGCTCCTCTAACGAAGCCACCATCCCCTCCTCTCGAATTCTCCCAGAGCTCCGAACCCGGATGGCTCGAAGCCTGTCCCCTCTTCAACTTCTGATCAATTGAAGAAGCTTGTACCGCAATCTGTACCGCATTCCTGACACACCTCGTCCATCAACACCACCGCCGAGTCGAACATAGGCGCAATGGCGCATATCAGAGCTCGAGCTCCCCAGGCAGCTCTGCAAGGCCTCAGGACCGCAAGCCCGGCCCCGCGCCGGCGATGCGTCGCTCTCGCCAATGGTGCTACCGCACGGCACATGTCGAGTGAGCGCGGCACGCCGAGCAACACTGAGGAGAAGCAGAAGGGCCGGACGTTCCAGGGTCAGGTCGTCGGCAGTATCACCCAGCGTCTGGCGCGCGAGAAGGCGGAGCGGGAGAGGTTCGCTGCCGAGCGAGAGAAGACGGGGAATAGCAGGAATCTGGCGTACACTTTCGGTAAGTCCTGATGTTCCGGGGCGGCGAGGCGTTGCAACAAGACTTGTCACGGTAGCTAATGCGCCGTCGCGTGCTGGCAGTGCTACTCACCACGATGGGAGTGTCGTACTACCTAGGCACCCTCGTGCCCCCGAGCCCCAGCGAAGAATCGACCCTGCCGCTAGCCAAGACGATCGCGCCGGTCCACAAGCTCAACAAGGAGAATCTCGAGGCCGCCTGGGCCGACTTCGTCGGCATCGTCGGCAAGGAGCACGTCAGCACCACAAAGGTCGACCTCGAACACCACGCCAACTCGGAGTGGTCCTCGCACTCGGCCAAGCCCGACGAGCGGCCGTTCTGCGTCGTCTTCCCCAGCACCACCGAGGAGGTCTCGGAGATCATGAAGATCTGCCACCAGCGGCGCATCCCCGTCGTCGGCTACAGCGGCGGAACCAGCCTCGAGGGCCACTTCACGCCTACGCGCGGCGGCATCTCGATCGATTTCGGGCGCATGAACAAGGTCCTGAAGCTGCACCAGGAGGACCTCGACGTCGTGGTGCAGCCCGCCGTCGGATGGGAGTCGCTCAATGACCAGCTGGCGCAGACGGGCCTGTTCTTCCCGCCGGACCCGGGCCCGGGCGCCATGATTGGCGGCATGATTGGCACCGGATGCAGCGGCACCAACGCCTACCGCTACGGCACTATGCGCGAGTGGGTGCTGAGCCTGACGGTCGTGCTGGCCGACGGCACCATCATCAAGACGCGGCAGCGCCCGCGCAAGAGCTCCGCCGGCTACGACCTCACCAAGCTCTTCATCGGGTCCGAGGGCACCCTGGGCCTCGTGACGGAGGCCACCCTGAAAGTTACGACGAAGCCCGCGTCCACCTCGGTCGCCGTCTCGGCCTTCCCCACGATCCGCGACGCGGCCAACTGCGTCGCCAAGGTCGTCGCCGCCGGCATCCCCGTCGCGGCGGTGGAGATCCTGGACGACCTGCAGATGCAGTGTATCAACAAGGCCGGCATGACGAGCAAGGCGTGGGCCGAGGCGCCGACGCTGTTTTTCAAGTTCGCCGGCACGGAGACGGGCGTCAAGGAGCAGGTGGCGCTGGTGAAGCAGCTCGCGAGCAAGACGGGCAGCAAGACGTTTGATTTCGCTAAGAACGAAGAGGAGCAGCAGGAGCTGTGGAGCGCGAGGAAGGAGGCGCTGTGGAGCACGATGGCGGTCCGGCGCGAAGGGGATCACGTCTGGACTGGGGACGTTGCGGTGCCGACGAGCCGGTTGCCTGACATCATTGAGGAGACCAAGGAGGCCATGGCCAAGAGTGGGCTTTTTGGCACCATTGTTGGGCATGTTGGGGATGGAAACTTCCACAGTGAGTTCCTTTTTTTTTGGTCATGCGTGGGGGACGCGCATGTTTTGAAGGAGAGAGTGCTTACTTTTGATGTCAGCTATTCTGCTTTACAATGACCAGGAGCGCAAGAGAGCCGAACACCTGGTTCATAACATGGTCAAGAGAGCTGTCGAGATGGAGGGCACCGTCACGGTATGTTGTCGTCAGACCTTTGGCTAGCCCATGGAAGTATCCGAGATTCGCTAACATAGCTGATAGGGTGAGCACGGCGTCGGACTCGTCAAGAGAGATTACCTCCCGCACGAGCTGGGCGAGTCTACCGTCGATACCATGAGACAGGCGAGTTCCCCCCTTCGGTGCTTATGAAAGACTGGGAACTGAAGTGCTAATATGATGCTTCGTCACAGATCAAGAAGGCTCTTGACCCCCTCTGCCTGCTCAACTGCGATAAGATCGTCAGAGTACAGCCGCCCAAGGCTGGCGAGGTGAGCGAGTGGTAAAAAGCGGCGGCGAGGTCGAGGAACCTATGGGTTCTTGATTTCAGGCTCTGGTGTAAGATGATTAGGGGGACAGAGAGGAAGCAGAACCTAGATGGCATTATTAAACTCTTGTATATATACATCTCCCTGATGCGTCCGGTATTCACCTAACTAGCTAGGGTCGGCGCACAATTGACAAGCACTTTTTCCAAGAATTGGAATGGGTATTGTTCGTCCCCAGACTTTTGGTGGGTGGTTTGGCCAAACGATTGTGATCCGTGTTTCGCGGGTGCTGCAAGGCGTATTCACAACAATAGGACGACATGAAAAGAGAGTAACTTCAGTATCGCAAAGAAAACCAAAATGGTGTTCGCTCAATGCTTTCTAGAGGCATTTATGTCTTGGAGATTGGCGAAAAAGCGAAAAATGAAAGGGACGAGACTCGAACTCGCGCGGGTTGCCCCACCAGGAAACAGATGTTAAGCTGACCTTAACCTGGCGCCATAACCAACTCGGCCACCCTTCCGTGATGATTTATGACGATGGATGCACAAAGCACTCTCATATAGGTCAAAGCCAATCTTTTTTTTTTCGACGTCTTCGCCTTCGTCTGGGTCTTTCGTCTTCGTTAATTGTTTCGTGTTCCTCCTTATCTTTCTACCGATTCCTAGATATTGGAGTGTATAGTTGCTTCTTTTATTTTATTTTACGAGGTCTTTCCTGGCGAGCTAAGGGCCGGTGTATGTAGATGCACATTGCTCGAAATGGTTTCGACTTTGGAAAAGGATTCGAAAGGTGCAGAATATTGAACGCAAACTCCCATGATTTCCAGCGAACGAAACTAGGATGATTTTTAATTCCAGGAGTGATAGTAATTAATTACCAACATAAGAAAGAGGTGGTATTGACCTTTTTTTGATTCAACCACTCGGTCATCGCACCTAGGTCGTCCGATTACTCGTTACAACTGCGCGTAGGCTACTAATATGGGAGACGGAAGATAGAAGACATGTATCATAATGTCGACCTCGAAAGTGAAATTTCCTGATGAGGGTATATTGATTTTTTGGTTTGGGGGGGCTAGCTGTTTTTACATGTACACGTCCTTCTTTTCTATTCCTACAAACTCGCCACGACATCATCGCAACGCCCGCACAACGTCTCCTCTTTGGGCGCGATATACCGCCAGCAGCGCGGGCACTTGTGCTCGTTTGGCGGCAACACCGAGACCGTCCCCTTTGCGCCGTTGACCTCGAATACCTCGTCGTACCGCCACTCGGGCTGGTTGGGTATCCCCTTGTTGGTCTCTACCGAGGATACGACAAACATGGCTTCCAGCTCTTCTCCATACTTGGCCAGCACGCCGGCCACGGCTTGGTCCTCGGTCGTGACAACCACAGAAGACTGCAGCGACGACCCGAGGACTTTGGCCGCGCGACCCTTTTCCAGAGCGGCCTTGACGGCGCCCTGGACGGACATCAGAACGGGAACATCCTTGCGGAGGGAAGCCTCCCCGATGGCGGAGGGCGCTCTGCCGTGGACGGGCGCGTCGTAGGGGGTGTACAAGGGGTGGAGGATGCTGCTGTCGGCCTTGATGTACTCGGGACGGTGGTCCCACGCCTCCTCGACCAAGAGCGGCGTCATGGGCGACAGCATGCGGAGGAAGCCGAGGAAGATGGGCTCCAGCACGCCGCCGCCGTCGCCGCAGTAAAGTCGGTCCTTCATCGCCTCGAGGTAGAAGGCGGATAGGTCGTTGGCGACCCAGCGGTTGAGGGCGCTGAACGCTTTGTAGAACTCGTGTGCGGCGAAGGCCTTTTCGACTTCCGCCATGACGTCGCGCAGCTGGATGAGGGCGATGTGATCCAGCGTCGTCGTGGGCGCGGTCCGGGCGGACTCGTGCATCGAACCCGTCAGCATCTTGATGATTGTGCGGTACTTGACCAGCACGGTATGGACGGACTTGAGGACCGCCTGGCCGAT